ATGTATGGCCAAAATGGCAGGAGCTTGGATATTTTGCCATTTATACAAATTTACCCAGGTTATGAATCTAAAAATTGGATTGAGTAAACATTAAATAATAATTTTTTTAAAGTAGCCAAATCCTCCAAATAAATTCCATTTTCAGCCCAGGATTCTAAAGCCCATCTTTTCCCCAGGATTGTTTCTCTTAGTAACCACAGGCATCTACAGACTAGATGGTTTCTTGGTGCAGATGTGGCAATTCATGCTTTCAGTTCTTCCCTTGAAATCACCTGCTTCCTTCTTGAGCTGGAAGAGAGAATGTAATGAGGGAGTCGTGCGGAGCAAAGCATTGAGAGGAAACGAGGTGGCATGTGAGGGAGTGGGGATGAGATATGAAGGCAGGAACAGGCTGGGCTCATAAAAATGAATGATGGAAGGAGCAAGGAAGGGCAGAAAGTAGAGGGGGAGAGCATGCTTCCCTCAAACCCGGAATGCAGTCATCAGTGTCCCACACGTGTCCCTGAGAATTGGAACGTTGATGGAAGGCTCAATATTAGGTTTTTTCCTTCTCGGCATAAGCCAGATTTTTTTCTTATCAATTGCTTACTTAGCTCAAATGTCCCAGGACCTTGGTAGGAATCTCAGTGTGTAATTCTGTGTGGCCCCCATGTAGAACAGGTCAGCTTCCAGCCTTCCTTTGCACAGCTTTGAATAAAGATCATCAAATTGTCTTCAGTGTTACCGTACAACGTTGGTTTTACAGGCATTTATTTTAGCATACAAAATGGACAGTGCTGCTTTCTTGGTGGGTTTCCATACCATGCATCCATAGTTCTGTTCCATTTCTTTCTCTCTGTGGTCCGTCATTTGTAGGTCACTAAATCAGTAGCACGCCAGCAGCAGTGATCTCTGAATACAGCAGTTTGTGGATTTTTATGGGCTTCTCTGTGGCCTCTCTCACTGTTGTATCCGATGCTACCGCATCTCTTTTAGATCAAGGAGGGAAATGTTGGAGCTGAGTACAAGAAGACAGACTTGATGTTGTGTTCCCTGCTTATGAGAGCAAAAGAGCAGGCTGGTTTCCTCTCTGTAAATTTATTGTGTGCACTTTCAGCACGGTTCTTGTTAACACATCAGTCTGATCAATATTTCTGAGAAAAGGATGCAGATTCATTACCCAGAGAAGGCAGAATACCACCAGAGTTCCCCCCTGAAGAGTGATTCGCCTGTGGATTCAGCAGAGGAAGCTGAGAGATGCTCAGTTCTGCACTAACCGTACCCTGAGGTCACCCTGCTCCCTCACTGTTCAGTGTGTTCCTGCTGCTGGCAGAACAGCGCGTGGGGCCGTACCCAGCTGCATCACTCGCTGGAACTCACATCAGCTGGGTGATGTGACCTGGAAAACCCAGACCTGAACCTGTCAGCCCGTTCCCTGGGCACAGGCCACTGACTTCACTGTCTGGCCTTTGCTTTGCACATTCCAACCTAAATTCTTGCAAGAGGTTCGTGTGCTTCATGTCACACGTGCTTGTGAGCACTGAACTAGACGTTTGCACTAATCAAGGCCATTAAATTTTGGAATCCCTTCCCTGCTCTCTCTGAGCTTGCGCTCTCTGTTGGCAGGAGCAGGTTTTGTGCTCTTCTTTAACTTGGGTATTTCTGGAAGAAAGAAAAAGACATCTTTAAACCTCTTCACGGGAGCATGACATCTATAAATCCTGGAGGTGAAGGAGTCATTCCTTAAGCATACTCAGCTTTAGAAATATCTGCTCACCAGTCGCTTCAAAGACAACAGAATTCCTAAGTTGAAAACTGGGGGAGAAATTAATAAACTTAAAATTACCAGTCTCATTTCCAGTCTTTCCGATCCTTAACAGCTGAGGTGATCTGATGAGCTGCAGAGTTAGGGTCATGGGTTAGAATTTACCACAGGAACTGCAGCAAGCCCGTGCTCAGAGCACATCATCTTGTAGCAGGCAGAGAAACTTCCTTCTTAAACCCCCACCATGGGAAATGGTCTCTCTTCCTTTCTAAATTAACGGAGCATTTGCTGTGCTCAGAGTTTCTGCAGACAGTCGCAATGACCAGAGGCTTTTGGTGCTTTTACACCCTTTCCCCAATTGATTTCATTTCTGTAGATAGCGTTGACTGCTTCAGTGAATATTAAACACGGGTGGCAAGGATTTTTCATCTGGGAGACTGTAGATCATCACTGTCACATTTCAGATGTTTCATCGACAGTAACTAGAACTAGATGATCTTTAAGGTCCCTCCCAACCCAAACCAGTCTGGGATTCCATGATTCTATGAAAGCAAAGCAGACAACGTGAGGTGCCGGACCCCTGTGAATCCCTGGGGGACTGGATTGTGTGCTTAATGGGGACCCATGGATCAAGGCATTGATTTGGAGTGTGTCGTGTCTACAGTTACACTATCGATTGATGTCATTGAGAAGCTTCAACAGGACTAAAATGAAAATGGAAAGTGATTTCTGCATTCTCCAAGTACTGTTTTTTTCATTAAGTGATTGTCACAGCCTTTATTTGATCATGAACCATTTGCTTGTGTTTGTTCCTCATTTCCCCACTCAAGTGAACACAGAGTAAGGATTTTAAATGATAAAGGATAGACAAGTGGGTTTTGAGTAATTGTTTCTTGTGACTCACACGAAGAATTGTAGTTGTCCACGTTGAAGAAGTTGTGGTTGCAACTAGAAAGATTTTGTGAAAAGCTTTTAAAGTCTGGAGCCTTAGATCTTACAGTTACGGGACATGATGAGACCAGGTGGATGTGATCACAGTAAATGAAAAAGTCTCTTTTTGAAGCAAAGCTGTCTGAAGTGCTTTGAAGTGTTAGGAGTCATGGCTGTGAAGAAGCTGATCTACCCAAGTAACTACGAATGGTAGTTCACAAATGTTGCTGTCTGCAAAGTACTTGATTAGAAGATTTTAGAAGAACGAAGTTCAGATGCGGTAGCTAAATACATTTTACTCTGTTCTTTCCTCTCCTGTGTCTTAGGTCAGAGCTAACTTAGGGCTTGTGGTAGAGCTCACCACATGTCAGAACCTAAGCAGAGTGAGGAGCTGTCAGGGGGCAGCACGGAAGGCTCTGGGCACTAGCAGCTCCTCAGGCAGCTGGCCTGGCTGCAGCTGACCTGTACAGCAGCTGTTTTAGCCTCTAGGCCAAACTCTTCCATTCCTGAAGTCACAGAACAGGCTTTTTCTTCAAACAAAATTATTCTGGCTTTGCTTTTCATACCTTTTTTATCATTATTATTGCAAGGGAAATTATAGGAATATTCCTTAACTGTGTAGCAGATTATTATTGTTTCACAGGTAGTGCTGTGGGTGGCACAGCCCAATGTGGTAAATAATTGCAGCACAGGAAAGCCTCTGCTGTCACGTACATCAGAACTGGGGTGTGCAGACTCAGTTCTGTGGTGGGGAATGTGCAGCAACGTCTTTGTAGATGGATCTAAGCAGCCTTTTAAACGCAATCCCAGTACTTGTAAATGCTGTTTGAAGTCTGTTTAATACACTGCACTAAGTTATTGCTCTTTCCTTTCTATAATGATTGGAAACTTGCCATTCATTCTTATTTTACCCTTTGGCTGTTAGTTATTTAAACTGGGGATGGGGTGATCATTATTTAAAGTTAATCTGTTGGCTGTTATTATAGATGATTAGCTTTTCTGTGTAGAAATAAGGCTGCTGTGTTATCAGCAGGCTCACTGAGCTGCCATCAGCCTTCACTGCACAGGGTATTTGTAGCCAGGGGCCACCTGTGCTGACTGCGGTCCCGTAGGCTGGAGTGCGGGAGCGGCTCTGGGTTGTGACAGGGATCAGCTCAGGGAGCTGTGAAGTAAAACACCACACCAGCTATTTCTGCTTTCCACTTCTTTAGGAGCAGGACTGTCAGACTTGGGCAGAGCTCTCTCCTGCAAGCAAAACCTGGGAAGGAAGTTCCTTGTCTGTTTCTGAGGCTCGGCTTTCCCCCCGGTCCCTCTGGCAGCAGCGGCGTTGCTGATGAAGGAGCTGCTGAACAATTGTTTCCTTTTCCAACAAAGCAGACAAATTCCCTCCTGGTTTCCACAGCCCACCAGGTCCTACTTCCCCTCACACTTGCAGGCAGTGACAATGATCTGGCCTTTGATGTTCGCACCACGAGAGCTGGCTGACATTTTTCCACCCCGTGTATTTTTCCGTTTGATTGTTGTTTCCGTTGGCCCCGCCGCTCAGAGACTTTGGCCCCTCACGGCTCTTCAGCTGTGTTATTAATTGTGAGCAGATCCGTTGCCCTGCTGCTATCAGAAATGAGCTGATACCGTATATTTTTTTAAAGGAAAATTTGGTGGGGCACATCCCCTTTTTACTCCGTTTCTAATGATTCTAGTGTCTCAGTGCAGGTGGACAGGGCCTGGCGGAGGGGAGCAGGCTGAGTTCTGGGGTGCCGGTTGCCGGCGCCCGCGTTCCACTGCCAGACCCCAAACTTTGGCCGGTCAGCACTGACTGTCCTGTCGTTTGCTGTTAAAATGGCTTCAGATACGACACCTGGTTCCAAATGCAGCACCGTTCGCAGAGTTATTAGTCACTTTTGTGTCCACAGTTTTTATTCACCCTTCTTTACTGTAAAAATAAGCAAACTGAGAGAAGACCAGCTGATCCAGTGGTTGTACAGCCAGACCAGGGAGGTGGGCTGTATGAAAGAGAATGCCAGATAGGTGAAATTAAACTGGACAGGGGAAAAAAAAGTCATTTTTGCTTTTCTCTCAGCTGTGATCACCTTTGCTGTGTAGAAAGTGAGAGAAAAAAAAGGCGAGAAGGACCAATAATCTTTAAAGGATTGTTTGGAAATAGTATGTGAACTATTCTTTGATGTTTGAGCTATCTGGAGTACTTACAGAAACAGGACAGAAAGTTCTTAGTTTATTTACATCCTCTCAAGTTTATTTCCAGAGTATCTATTGGGGCATTTGTCCAGATAAAAACTACTGAGTTGGAAAAGCTGGGATCGCAGTCATGCCACCTCCAGAGAAACTTGTGTCGTCAGTTTCTCTGACGTGCACTGCCTACTTTCTGGGAATTGCCACGTAAATGCCATAGTTTTCAAAGATTTTCTTCATGAACGTAATTAATTAATTAATATAATTTGTCCACTCATGTCTTGCTAGTGTAAAAATATTTTAAATGAAGGGCAAAGGAAATTTGGAATCGTTTTTTCCCTTTCTTTTCTGCGTTGTAGAGATGCAGGTCACAAATGTCCAGTAGACAACGAAATTCTGCTCGAAAATCAGCTGTTTCCTGACAACTTTGCCAAGCGGGAAATCCTTTCGCTGACGGTGAAGTGTCCCAACAAGGGCTGCGGTCTGAAGATGGAGCTCAGGCATTTAGAGGTGAGAGGCTTGAAAATACAGACCCTTGTTTTCATGGACATGTAACAATTCAGAATAACTGGACGTGGCTGGTCACACCTGACGCCTGTTTGTACCGATTGGGTGCGTTGTTCAGTCAGGACAACAGCTGCACGTGGCTGGTTTTTGATGAGTGTTTAATTGTCATTAGTGATTCCCAAGTGAACGTCGCCGTGCGTGAACGTTGTGCTAACGCGGCTTTCTCTTTAGCTTCGTTCTGGTTTGTCTTTGGATCAGCTGGATCTGTACTTCACAGAGGTTCCCTACGGTCAGTGTAACGTTCCCTCAGAGCAGCTAGGTACAGTAGCTGAAATAACTGGTTTGGGAAACAAAAAGGATAACAGAAAGCTGAATTTTTAACCCGAGAGCGTTGCTGAAGCTCTGAATACGTGAAGTCCCGGTCTCAGTCACGGGACGACACCAAGCTGCTGGTGTGAGTGTGTCAGGACTTGCCTGCAGGAAGGGGAGATGGCAGCTTGTTCCTCTGGTTCTGTGCTCTGCCTTGAAAAGCGGTGCGGCGATAGTGCCTGTTTGCAGTATCAACCCCCCTTCTGTCCTTCCTCAGGACCACCAGCTGCAGTGTGATTTTTCCACCGTGGAATGCCCGCAGTGCCAAGGAACCTTCCAGAAGAACCATCTGAAGGAGCACGTGACACAGGAGTGTCCGAGGCGTCACGTCTGCTGTCCAAACTGTGCCACATCGATGGCCTATGAAGATAAAGAGGTACTTGGCAGGAGGCTCAGGTTTTCAACCTTCGTTCACGTGGGTTTGCTTGTAGATGCAACATCAGCTTAAAAAATAATAAAAAAAGCAGGTTTTTGGTCTAGAAGAGCTGCTTGTGCTGCACAGGTGAGAAGCTGCAAACTCAGGACATTAGTCTGGGACAGGCGAAAGCTGGGGAGGGGATTGTGCTTAAACACAAACTTCCTGGGAACCCTGTAGTGTGGAAGGAGTTGTGTGAGCACCGTTGGGTTTTGGCCTTGCCCTCAGAGAGGCCGGTATCTGCTGCCGGAGTAACAGGCAGAACAGTATCCCACATTTACAGCTGTTATGTCTGGCAGAAAGGATGTGTCAGGAGGTGTCTCCTGCTAACACACAAGACCAGGATCACTTCTGGATTCTTCTCCTGGCTCTGCAGTTTTGACTTGGATGACACCGAGGATGGTCCTTTCCTTTTGAGCTTCCATTTCTTTATCTGTAGAGGAACATGTGTTATCTCAAGGGCTGCTCATTTTGTGGTATCTTATTGTGCATTGTCAAACAAAAATACCTCATATAGTCCAGCAGTACAAAAAAACCCTTTAATATAGTCCCACTCCAAGTAAGCATGAGTTTCAGAAACTTCTGGATAAATTCAGACTTTTTGGAGCATAAGAGCTTTAAGAAATAAAATATCTGCTACTTTATTAATCTCTTGTATGAGTCCAGGAAAATCCCAGTCATTATAAGAGAACATAGTGCTCAGGGTAAGGGGGCTGTCTGTGTTTCACAGCTAAATGCAGAATGTGAAATGTGAATGGAAATGTAGCGTCTCACCAGAGGCAATTTGCATCCTTTTAAATTGTGTCACTTTATTGATTTTTCTCTCCTCTCTTTGTCTCTGTTTGATAACTAAAGCTTCATGACCAAACCTGCCCACTCGCCAATGTGTTTTGTGAATACTGCAACACGGTGCTCATCAGAGAGCAGGTGAGAGAACTGCCTTTGCCCGTCTTCAGTCTGGGGCACGTGTTTTGGATTAATCTGAAATTAAACAGAAAGAAACAGTTTATCTACCAGCTGATAAATCCCTCGCTGCCTGTCTCTGGAAATGCTGCCTTCAGCGCGGGTGTCACACTCTGAAACGCTGTTCCAGCTCTTTGCAGTCTGGTAAACCTCTGGGTAGGATTTGCAGCTGGGAACCCCGGTGTTCCGCTCCACGGCTTCTGCCTGGTTTGGATCGTGGCTGGAGGTAAACAAATACCAGGCAACTGCCAGTGGCCAGGGCTGACACCAGAGGACAAGGCTTTGATTTGGGCAGAGAGGGAGAGTGTTTGGAGTTGGAAAGCCACTGCTGGAGAGTAGCTGTAAATAATGCACTGTCAGACTGTAGCTGCTGGCTGGAGCTCTGCCTGTCCCTTACTGTTGTAGTAGCTACTGTTACTTCTCCTGTTCAGTGATAACTTAGTTCATTGACATGAAAATGATAAATATCATCTAGTTTGCAGCCTGTCCCTGTTTGAATGGGTTGGCAACTATGTAATGACCTGGGCTAAGGAGTGATCTTGTCAGATGGGAGAAATACTCTGAAAAACAGGCTGAGATCAGTAACGACCAAGGCAGAAATCTGTCGTTAGGTGGAATAATGAACTGCAGATGTAGGGAACAGGGAGTGCTCAGCTAGGTAACGGTCTGGAATTAATTTAAACAAGACACACATCCTGGGTTATATGAACAGGTATTTTGCTTGTGAAACCCAGAATTATCCTTTGCTCTGTTTAGGACTTGCAGGGCCTCAGCTTTTGGAGTGGAGATGGATAGGGAGGACCCAGAGCAGTGAGATAAGTGCGTCTGGAAAACACAGACTGTAAGAAAAACCAAAGTAACTTGAGCTTTTTGAGGCAGAGGATAATGAAGAGACACAGGAGGATATGCAAGCGGTGCTTCAGCAGGGAGGGAGGTGGGCTGTGATCCAGCTTGAGGGTAGGCTAGAAACTAAAGAACAAAAGGTATTTATTCTTGCAAGAGAACCTGAACGCTTCTGACGCCTCGTGCAAGAACAGAGGCAACGAATTGTTACCCTACACACAAGGAGGATGGAGAATTTTTAATATCAGCCACATTTTTGTTCAAAGTTTCCACGCTGCTTTGAGAAATTCTGTAGGAATAAACGGATGTGACCTCAGGTGCCTGAGCAGAGTCCATCCAGCCCCGGTCTTTTAGGATGTTATCAAAGAAAACTCTTGATGGAAAAATTAATTTCAAATCTGATTGGTTTTAGATGCCCAACCATTATGCCAATGACTGTCCTACTGCCCCAGTGCCGTGTTTTTACAGTGCCTTTGGCTGTCCTGAAAAGGTAAGAACCACGACTTGCAGACCTTCTGCAGGGCTTGGGGGTTGGTTTGGGTTTTGTCTCGTGTTTCCCTATTCTTGTCTCACTGACCAGCCCAAATCCTCAGTGATTCGTGGATTTTTCATTTGAAGTATTAAATTCTCAAACACTCCGTGTTGATACAGTGCCTTGCAAAAGTCCTTGCCAGATTTAAAAAGCACAGTGAATGATTTGCTTGATGAACTTGCTTCTCTTTTAACCCAGGAGGGTTTTCTCAGCTTCCATGTCAATAAAGCAGCTTCTAGTGTTTCTCCCAAAGTTGTGACCAAATGCAGTTACAGCTCTTAGAGTTCCGTGAAGAAAACCTGACAGTGCTTTACATTTGATTAGATCTTAAAGTTATTTAACCTGGATACTCCTATTTCTAGTCTTTTAATACCTCTCTGTAAAAATGGATCTTTTCCCTTCATCATTTCCACGTCAGTTTTCACACACCCTTATATTTGGTACTCTGGAGCATTTCAGCGAATCAATGAAGGGAATACAGTGCTGATTTAGAACACAGAAAAAATACTAAACAGACATTTATCACTTACATTTTTTCCCCATGTCACTGTTTTGAGTTGAACAATACTTTCCCACTGACACTTGAACTTTCTTGTTTGTTTGTTGTAACAATAATCTTAATAAGATGTTAATTTTGGAGGCCTCCGTAGGTAAAGTGCCATTTTGTCGTATCGTGTTCCAGTTTGTCTCCCATAACAGAAGCAGCTGGTGGTTTGATTCCCTTCAGAGCCCTGTTTGGGATGTGATTGCAGATAACACATGATATGTTCCTAACGCCACGTCTCTGACATTCCAGATGCAGAGGAATGAACTGGCACGACACATGCAGGAGTTCACTCAGGTTCACATGAGAATGATGGCTCAGAGTTTTCAGAACATCAGTGTTACGGCTACAAATCCCGTGCCCTTCATCAACGGCCTGCCCTTTGAGCCTGCCCTCTTCTCACACGTGTCGCACGCTGCCTACGATTGTAACCCAGAAGTGGAGAACTTCAAGGAGACCATTCAGCAGCTGGAAGGTCGTCTGGTAAGACAAGATCACCAGATCAGGGAACTCATCGCTAAGATGGAGACTCAGAACACTCACATGGCAGAGCTCAAACGCACCATCCGGAATCTGGAGGGAAAGATCACTGAAATGGAGGCACAGCAGTGCAATGGCATCTACATCTGGAAGATCGAGAACTTCAGTGGCCTTCAGAAAGCCCAGGAGGAAGAGAGACCTGTTGTGATGCACAGCCCTGGCTTCTACACCGGCAAGCCTGGCTACAAGCTGTGTTTGCGCCTGCACATCCAGCTCCCAAACGCTCAGCGCTGTGCTAATTTTATATCCCTGTTTGTCCACACTATGCAGGGGGAGTACGACAGCCACCTGCCCTGGCCTTTCCAGGGCACCATACGACTTTCCATTCTGGATCAGTCGGAAGGCCCCGAGAGGCAGAATCACGAAGAGGTGATGGAAGCCAAGCCGGAGTTACTCGCCTTCCAGCGACCAACGATTCACCGCAATCCTAAAGGTTTCGGGTACGTGACTTTCATGCACCTGCAGACCTTGAAACAAAGAACCTTCGTCAAGGACGATACCCTCCTGGTGCGCTGCGAGGTTCTGACGCGCCTGGATCTAAACAGTCTCCGCAGAGAAGGGTTCCAGGCTCGCAGTACGGATGGAGCCGTGTAGCCTGCACGTCTTAACCAGAGGAGCGGAGCCGCTGCTCGTGTTCTGCCACCACAGATGACCAGTGTGCTTCATCACCCGTGCCGGCTGCGTTTGCCAAAGATCATAGTTGCCAAGGCAGTTGATCTTTACCTGGACTGAACTCTGTCGTTGCTGGTGTACTTTGGGGTTTTTTCTGTCTGAGGTAGTGTGTTCGAGTGGTTGGTCTTGTTCTCTGTTAAAGTAATAAGCTACTCCTGTAGCAATTAACTAAATGAAGTGGTGTTCACCCAGACTGAGCTGCCTCCTGCGACCTCCCGCTCAAGTCCCTGTACGTCTCCGTCTGGTAAAACTTAAAGTCATATCTGAAAAGACCTGTAAACCTTTTTGCCTCAGTGCCTCGGAATAGATAATGCAGCAGGGAAATAGCTAAATTAATAAAGATGAGGGGTTTGTTTGTTTGTTTGTTTGTTTGTTTTCATAGAGCTTGGGGAAGTTGAGACAGTTTCTGTACTGACTGACTTACCTAGAATCTGGAGTTGGCTGTGCTTCTCTTGGAATCTGAAGTCAAGGTAAGACTGTGCTCACAGCACCTGGAGCTGAGGTGTGCTTTGACCTTCCCCCAGCAGAGTTAGTTGCTTCAGGAGGTTGCACATGGATGCAGAGTTGATGCTGGTATTTTGGAAAGACGTGTGGTTGTGTTGGGGAGAAGGCTAAATCACTCTGCTCCGAGTTCACTGGAGAAACGTTTATAACGTGGTCTGAAGGTGCCCCCAGATTCTCTTTATTTGATGAATCTTTTTGTAAGTGTGTGCTCTGGGCCCGGAACGTCGGTCCCATCACCGGAGAGGTAAGTGTGAGGTGTTTGGATGAGGTATCTGTGCTGGTGGGATCTCCTCCTCCTAGGGCTGGACACTTTCCAGGTGTGAGTGGCTACGGGAGCAAAGGGACTGTTCCGAGTCCTAACTAGACAGGGCAGCACAGAATTTGTTAATGCTCCTGTAGAAACTTGAATTTGTACCAGAGCTGTTGGTGACCTGCACCGTGTGAGCGCTCCCGGTGTTCTGGGGGATGTAGGGCTCAGTCTCCTGTGAAGTCTTGGGGGACAGCTGGCCAGAGCGAGGTCCAGCTGTATCTCCTGTCCCAGTGGACAATAGGAGCTGGGCTGCCCTCAACCCTTTGGAGGGGAAGACAAGCCCATTAATTAGTGTGAGGAAGAATTGCAATCCTGTCTGCTCGCAGGAGGAGGATCTGGCTTCCACAGTGGCTCCTTTACCAAACGCTGTGTCGGGAATTCACAAACCCCCTCCTCTTGCCTGTATTCTTGTTGTCTGTCCCCATTGTTTGTGTTCCATATCAGTGTTAGTTGTGACCGGTCAGAGCTGAGTAGTTCCAAGTGCCATGGTGCTAAAAATTGTAACTTCTCTTGGTGCTGATAAAGTTCTTAATCTGTTCCGAGGACAGGTCAGCACATGTTACTCACAACAGGAAGAGCTCCATGGTGTAAAATGCTCTTTTTAAAGCTGAGCTGTTTGTCAGGCAGGTTTTGTACCGAACGGCCTCAGGCTGTCAGCTGAATTGCTTTGGTCAGAGCCTTCCCGGTAGTTAAACCGTTGTTAAGCAAGAGCCTTTGCTTTGCCAGCAGTTCACTCATTTTCAGGTGATGCTCGTTGTGCATGTTTGCGATATGACCCGAAGTTGTGCTTGGAGCCTGATGTGCTGGATCTGAACCAGCTCTGCCGTGAGAGGAAGCGCCATTTGGGGGCAGGTTTGAGGAGTTCGGGTGCTTCAGGGTGAGGTTGGACCATAGCACAAAGCAGCAGGGAGTAGAAAGCTGCTGCCTGTAGGACACTGTTGGCCGGAGCAGAAATGCTTCCGTCACTGCTGCTCTTCTGGCTGCGTATCTGAATAGTGCCAGGGTGGAACCAGAGCTCTGAGCGATGCCAAGGGGCTGTCAGGCCAGAGTTTTACAGGAGAGACTTTGGGAGCTAATTTGCCAGGTCTCACTTCGATCTGCCTATCATGAAACATTATAAATGTTAATTAAATGTTTATTGTTGATCCATTTTCCTCTTTCCTCCCCCACCACCTACCCCTCAATTTAACCGCAGGTCCAGAGCTTTCTCTTACAAATCAGCCCCTCATCTTCAACTGACGGGAGGATTGACGAGTCTGCACTGTCACCATCTCTCAGTGTACAGTCTCGGTGACTATTAGTGTTTATTCAGACTTCCCTGAGGTTGGCACAGAGAGTCACTTTCTATCTGAAAATGTATTGTCAGTGAAGCAGCCTCTGTTCCCTGTCTGCCAGCTCTGGTCTTTTCTTTTGAGAAATGGTTTTGCCGTGGTGGACGGAGGTGTAATGGCTCGAGCTACTGACATGGGAGCAGAAAGGTGTGCAGCGTCCAGAGGTGCCTCTAACATCAGAAGAAGTACAGGGATTTAACTAGTTTCCCGTGTAATTTCTTCAGGAACGGGGTTCTTTAGCTCTGTAACTCTTGGTGCTTTGCAGCATTACTGGATCTCAAGGTGGTTTAGAAAGTGGCTTAGGGTCTTTTCTCTGCCAGATTTCTGTTGTCTTGAATGTGTTTTAAGCCAGCCACTCTTAGTACGTGTATTTGCAAAGCTGCTATGGCACAAATTTTCCAAGTATAATATATTGCAAATGTGTTTTCTTTTCGCTTCTGAATGTTTCCCCTGCAGGGCAGGGCAAATTATTTTACAAAAACTGTTGGTATGTAAATGTATATGTGGGAGCTCGGATAATGAGAGATGTACAGACTTATTTTGTAAGTGGGCTCATGATAGGCCTGGTCATGTTTGCTATCAGGGGATTAAACTTGCTAATGAAGTAAAATCAGGGTGGCCTTGCTCTTCCTAGTTGGAGCCTCTTCTACATCAAATCTATTGTTGGTGGATGGGGTCAGTGTTAAAAGTTTGTATTGGTGTTTGTATTTGAACAAATGAAAGTACTCCTGTTCCCTTGGAAGTATCAATAGATTCTTTAATATATTTTGTAATTAAAGCACAGCTCTATTTCTGACAGGATTTTAAACAAATAAATAATTAAACAGTGTGCTGCATGGTGCATCGTTATTGCTGTGGAGGGCGGTTCAGAAAGATGAAGATTAACCTCGGTGCTGGGCTTTCCATCTTGGGGGTTCAGAGTTGCCTGGTTGCTAATGAGGGAGGCCCTGTGCCACCAAGAAGGCAAAGAATGTAGCCCAAGCTAAAAATTTTCTGTCATTTATAAAGGGTAGCCGTAGCTTTATTCATTACTGGAAGACAGAGCTAGTGTGATTGATAATAACCTGAGTGTTCTCATCATCAGCTGGTGCTTGAAGCTGCAGCTCTGAGAAACGCTGCACACGGTCACCTCCCTGGCCACATCCTGCTCGCTGCTTGTGTTTGTCACAAAAACAACTCTGGGGGGAAGCTTTGTTGCGAGATCCTCAGGTCAGAAACCAAAGGGAGATCCTCCGGCAGAGAGAGAAGGATTTGCTTTGACCACAGAGGTGTTCTGGATCTGTTTCACAGCAGCTGCAGGAAGGGAAACCTGGATCTCAGCCTCTGTGCCCTATAATGTTCAAGGCTTCCCAGTTCTGAGGAAACTCAGTGGTATTTAATAGACATCATATCTAACACAGTGCAATTAGTGTCAACTTAATTGTGAGTTTACCTGTCACCAAAGTTGGTTCTTGTAGCCCCCACGAGTAGTGGGTGGGATAGCATTACCTGCTGTTAATCCATTTGTAATGCTCTGTAGTTCTAAGATCACTAAAATCAGCTTTTGATCAGAGGAAGCACTCCTGGGCTGTTGTTAAAGGCCACATGCAGCTGCACCTGTGAATGGAAAGCCAAAGGCAGGCAGAGAAGAGGGCAGCAAGGTGAAAGTATGTTCACACCCAGGAGAATACAACTGTCTTGTGCACATGTACGTGTCTTTTACTGGGTTTGGTTTTTTTTTTTCAATTAAACTTAACCTCCTTGCTGAAAGCAGGTGTCTCTGCGCACAGAAGCAGCCATCTAACAGTTGCTTTAAGCTTGTCAGGGCTCGGAATGTGTGAAGAGCTGGTGCTACTTCTGCAGGCTTTGCCAGGTCACAAACAACAATTAAAAAAATAAATAAAACCCAAACACCCCCCAGCCCCCCCCGTTCTCTTGGTTTTGTTCCCTCTTGCCTGCAAGAAAGCAGGAACTCACTCTAGCAGCAGTCATAGCGTGAGTCCATCCTCACGTGTATTTTATTCCACGCAGAACTGTGACTGTCACCACTGCTCAGCCCCTCTCAGCTACTGACATGTTCTCTGTTTTGAAAAAATATAGGTGATCCTGTAAAAATGAATTGACTTTGCTATTTTGTGCTGGAGAAGGAGCAGCTAAAGACTGAGCTGCAGCATCATGAAGCTGATCTCCCTGCTCGCACTGCTGCCCGGGCTTTTGGTGAGGGTGGTTTTTGAACCCAGTTGTTCCACTGGAACAAGCGCTCGGGGTTCACAGCTCAGACAGGCTGGGTTTGCTTGGGGACTTTTTTTTTTCCCCCCCCCTCTCAAATGGAACAGGAAAATTTCTGAAACTGTGTGAGAGGAGGAGACTGAGATGGGAAAATCATTTCCCCCTTCGCTGCAGTCCCAGCCTCGACCCATGAGCCTCCTTTTCCTTTCGGTTTGTGTCTCTGGGGTGACACGGCCCACAGCTGTTCCCAATTTCAGTGATGTCCCTCCTGGAGCTGGCTGCTCCCCCTGCACCTGGGGACGTTATTCCAGCTGGCACACAGCCCTGGGGGGCCAGTCACCCAGAATGATGCAGGGAAAAGCCCTGGTCTACTCACAAACCTGAAGATCCTCCCTGAGGTCCCAGCAGGTTTGACTCAGCTCAGCCAGGCCTGACAGGCACCAGCCCTGTCAGGAAAAGGAATCCATGGGCCAGACATGTGCTTTCTGGTGGCTTCTGCCCCAGAGACCGACCCCACGCAACAACAAGGGGGCCAAGGTGCTGCCTTTAACACAGTGGTACCTCCAGCCAGATACAAACTCGGGCTTTGCTACCAGGGTGTTAAGGAACCAAAGTACTGCCAAGGAAAAGTGACACGGACAAGTTTTCCCAGTTTACAGAACAAGTTTTGTTTACTTCAGTTTCCAAAGTAAAGCCACCAGCTTTAACTCTCCCTAAGAACCGAAACAAGAGTGGAAGTGCAGGACTCAGAGTGGCTCCGTGCAAATTTTTGCAAAGTAAGACACAAAATAATTCAAATTATACATATAGGTAAAACCAAAAGAAATTCAAGTTAAAACCAGGACTGGATTCCTATTCGCCCTAGAGATGATCCAAGAATGTGTCAGGAAATAAATAAATCGTCCTAATTTTCACCCAAAAAAGAGGGCGCTGCTCGCTAATCCCAAGGGCTGGGGGAGGTACAGAGGCAAAGGGGTTAGCAGGGAAATGGAAAGCAGAACAGCGTTTGTGAGAGTGAACTGAAATGCTGCAGGGCGATCCCTTCCCCAGTGTTTGTTGTCTGCACCACAGGGACTCAACTGGAGTGGCAGCGGTGTTCTACCCACGCCTCTCATGGGCTCTGACATTTAAGGCAGCATTTCAGCTCACCTCTAAGCCTGTAATTACACTCGCAAATCTGCTCAGCGAACATCAGCAGGGGACCCCAGGGACGGCTCAGAGCCGCGTTCTGTTCCCAGAGAAGCAGCATTTGAGCACCGAGCGGCGCCACGAAGCCGGGACTGCAGATGGCAGTGCCTGCCACCGACACTTGCAAACTGGACCCGCTCCCAAGCTTCCAAATAAAACCAAACCCAGAGTCTGCCAAGAGCCTCGGCTGGAGCTGGAGAGCAGCACTGCGCTCAGCCGGGTACCACTGGAGGTCAGGAGCACTTCATGAATGAACACTGCGGAGACAGGGCTCCCTCGGTTCCACACTGCTGGTTATCTTTGGTCTCACAAAGTCTGCAAGTGCTAAAAGTACCAGAGCAGCCCAAGGATGAAACCCTGTTTGTCACCTCCCAGTCTGGAATCACAGTGGCCTGGTCCCGAGAAGCACCTTTGTGTCTCCCACACAAGCACAGGCTCTGCCCAGCGTCTCCTTCCCAAAGGAATCCATTTGGATTCCTCCTTCATTGCAGCCCTACCTGCCACCACTGAGGTGCTGAGAACAAATTGATGCCAAACACCAGGATGGTCAGGGCTATATTTTGCCCCCAATTTACACACCCACCCCTCCTTTGCACCCAATTGACACCACCACCCCCAGAGATCCAACTGGGGCCAAATAAAGTACATAGGAAGTGTTCAGCTGGGACTCCGCCTGTACTCAGTTCTCCTCAGGTCTAGGGGGGGGGAAAAAAGTCTGATCTGTTCAGATTTGGACTTTTCATCCATGCCCAAGGGAGGCAAAGTGAAGGACCTCTCCTTCTCTCACCAGCCACTGAACAGACCTTTCTGCAGGATGCAAACAGTTTCATCCCTGAGTTCAAGTTTAAAATGCAGTCCTCAGCCATCGGCACCCTCGCGCCAGGAGCGAAGAGAACACTTAGCACAGAGCTCTCTGCTGCAGGAACAAAGAGCAAACAAGCAGCACAAAGCTGGGACAGATGGAGAAAAGCAGAGAGGCTCATTTGTATCACACCAAAGAGAAGGAAACCTGAGGCCAAAGGGTCTGGACTAGCAGAGGAAGCAAGCTCACAGAAGGCAGACTGTGCTGTTCAACAGCGAAGCCTTTGCAGCCCTCTGTGCTCATTTGGGAGCAGCCTGGTACCTCCACCACCAACGATCCCAGATGGGCAAGAAAAACAAACCTGGAGAACATTCCCAAAGGGACAGGAGATCCCTCGAGGACATTTCAATGACATGAGCAAACCCCCAAGCTTTCTCTGCTTTCCCCAGCAGGGATGACACGACACTCTGTCCAGCTTAGTGCATACAGTTCTCTCCTCAGTGAGGCCTCTCCTAGCTGACCGACGTGCAGTTCAGCTCTGCAGGGTCCTGCCTACCTGCTGCCATGACTCCCTCGGGCCCGTCGGCGATACTGGGCTCGCTGGAGCACTGCCTGTGGCTAAAACTGGGCTGCAGGAGGAGGCATTTGTCGGTGCTGTCCGACTCCTCAATCACCATCCCCGTGTGCATCATGGAGGCCATGGCCAGGAGCTGAATATCCGAGTGAGCGTTGGCAACGGTGTGGCGACGGATGCTCCCGCATTTCTCCAGGTAAGCCTCCCCCTCCTGCTCTGTCAGCGGGGTCAGGGCCATGTCGCTGGGCTGCCGGCTCGTCGCCACGTGAGATGAGTAGTTCAGAACACCAGGCTTGGGACGGGATCTGGAGTAGCGTCTCTCTGGAAGAGAAAAAGGAAACAGGAATGGTCAGCAGGGCACAGACAAAGCACCATCTAACTGCTAGGCTGGCCCCAGGGAACAGAGAGGGCTTGGTGTGCAGCCACAGAGCATCCCACCCGCCTCTGGGAATTGCCACCAGGGAACAGTCAGGTGCTTGTTCGTTCACACTGCTGGGGGTGTGGAAAGGAGGTCTGCCTCTCTCCCAGTAAGGAGACACCATCATTGTCATCATCATCACCAGGCTGGATGAGGCTTTGAGCAACCTGGTCTAGTGGAAGGTGTCCCTGCTGATGGCAGGGGGGGGGGGGGATG